ACGCTATTTTGAAAAAAATTGCACTTTGAAATGTTTATTGTTAGTCCATATTGCCTAAGTCTATCGAATATTGCACGCAGATGTTTTTCATGGGATTCCTTATTTTTASACGCTACAATTATRTCATCTATGTAACAGGCACAAAAATCTAATTTGCTTAATACTATRTTCATAAACCTTTGGAATGTTTGCGCCGCGTTACATAAACCGAAGGGCATTACTGTGTATTCGAACAAACCAAACGGTGTAATTACCGCTGTTTTTTCTATGTCTTCTTCAGCCAACGGAATTTGGTGATATGCTCTAGACAAGTCTATTATGGAAAATATATTACAGTCACGGAATTGTTGCGTGACGTCGTGTACATGTGGAATGGGGTACCTGTCTGGTACCGTAACGCTATTCAATCGCCTGTAATCTCCACATGGCCTCCATTCGCCATTTTTCTTTGGTACCATATGCAGAGGGCTCGCCYATTGACTCTTGGACGGGCGACAGATTCCTTCGTTGACTAGTTGCTGAAATTCGGCTTGTGCGATTCGCAGTTTTTCCGGATTTAGTCTTCTTGCTCTCTCTGCTATTGGAGGACCTTTTGTGGTAATATAATGTTTCACCGAGTGGCTGATGGGTTTCCTTGAAGTTGGTTTMGTTAAATCTGCGTACTCCCTAAAAAATTCTAAATACGGACTATTGCAATTAATGGTCAAAATGGTTRGAACGTCAATATYTACTAATTCTGCTTTCCTAGAAAGCAATGTATTGCCGTCCAACAATTTTTTGTTTCTTAAATCTGGTAGTAAGTTATAAAAATGTAAGAAATCGGCGCCTATTATTGCTTTAGAAACATTCGCTATAATGAATCTCCATGAAAAATCTCGACGAAGTCCAAGATTTAATTTTAAAAGTTTCTTTCCGAATGTATCTATTTATGCACCATTTGCCGCATATAACTTACACGTATTGTCTTTGGTTTCACTTATCGAAGTACGTGGAATCACTGAGACGTCTGCACCAGTGTCTATTAGAAAACATGCTCCTGTTTTCCTATCATTTACCATGAGGCGCAGGTTTCTCGTCGCGTCGTCAACTGCCTCTATTTGAGACGCTTGCATTAGTTTTCCGAAGGCTTTCTTTTATCCGGGCCTGTCCACTTGCACGGGGRTCTGCACTTCCACGATTGTTCCGCGAATTTCCAGTGGTAGTAACATAGGCCGTCATTGTTTCGGTGTTTGCTTGACGATCGGCTTCGACTTCGGAATCTTCCGCGGAAACTTCGGTACTTTCTTCTGCCGCGCATTAGGTTTTTTATCTCCTTCGTTAGTTGCGCGATTTCCCGCATGTATTCTGCTACCTCGTGATTGGTTGTTGCTTGAGCGGCCTTTCCTGCTGGCGCTGCTTCCGAAATGGCGGCCGTTTCCGGCAGACGCTCTCTCTCGAGGATCTTATCACCCATTTCCGCTAACTTTGCGGGTGACGTATTTTCGTCTGCAATGGTGAGGATCTCTTGTACCCTGGTTGGCATCCTTTGCATCCATAACGTTAGGAGCATTTTTTCGCTAACACTATATCCTGCTAGGCGTTTCATTTCTCTCCAAAGTTCGGACGGTTTTTTGTCTCCTAACTCAATTCCCATTAACAATCGCCTTAGCCGTTGTTCGTCGGATTTAGTTAGTCTGTGTATTAAGGCTTCCTTTAAATGTGTATACGTACATTGCTCGGGGGGGGATGCTAAGATGTCGTGTACCTCTCTTATCAGCGTGGTATCCAAATTCCTTATCACCGCTGAAAACTTTACGGCATCCGATTTAACGTTRTACGCCGTGAATTCCTTTTCCAACATTACGAACCATAAATTTGGTTCCTCTTTCCAAAAAGCTGGAAGCGTTACATTTCTAAACTCACTGGCGTTGATTTCCTTTGTTACGAACCATAAANTGTGCCACTCCGGCGTGCCCGCCAACTTCGGTTACACTCGGCTTTCCTCGACATCCCAAACACACGGACATGGAAAACTTTCATTGTGTGCAATCCCAGTGGCACAGGGAGAGGGTAAAATTTACCCACGATCTGACAGCACTGATCTACAGACAAAATATAAAATTTACGAACGTTTCTCGCACGTGATTGTGTAAGCAAGCTCTCGTTCTTAATTATTTTAACTTCTTAAGTACAGATATGATATTTATATTAGAATTTAATAATAAACAAGAATCAATCGCTTTTATATCTTTTTACTAATTCAATTAATAATTTTTAAAAGGAATATTTATCATACTTTTTACATACTATATACAGGTATACACATTTTTCAAAACCAGCACATCCAAACTGAACTCTGGTTTTTGCTAAATTTAGATTAAAGAAAATTAAAATTCTTTTTTTATTTATGTACCTAAATCAAATGAACAAGTATGAAATAATAACTCATATATTGCAATTAAATATAAAATATTAAATGTAAAAACATTTATATATTAAGTAATAAATATACAAATATATTTACAGTCTATCTATTTACATTGCAATTGTTGTTTCAAGTTGATACAGAAATAATCAATCAATCATACATAATAATTACAAAAATTATGTCCCGCAAACAGATTTTAAACCTCTTAGAACAAAGAATGACGATTAGATTGGATCAAAAAAATAAATTGCAATTAGAAATATTGTTGTAATGGTTCTCCTAAAATTTCCTCCAAAGTTCTAACTGCATTTTGTGCACATTTTTCTGTAGCTTCGTCCTCATCTTCTAACATCTCTGCTAAGAAAGGTACAGTTTCCGGTAGTAAAGGCATAAAATCTTCTCCTAATTTCCGAGCGATTTCAATCTGAAAAAAAAACACAAAAGAAAATAATAGGACTTTTATCCATCGATACGTAACAAACGTACAAACGTAAACAAAATAAAACACAAATGAAATGCAAGAGATGTGTTTAAGAAACAAAAAATTAATAACAAAACGAATAATTATCAGAAATATTGATCTCACCAGAGCGTTCAAAGCAGCACTTCTGACATATGCTTTAGCGTGTCTAGTTTTTAATAAGACTTGATAAACCAATAATTTATGCAACGAATCATCTGGTATAGCACTTGCGAAGGAAGCTATGCAAGGCACTATCAAATCGTTCGCACGTTTAATATATTCTTCCTTCGTACCCATAGTATTTTCTAATTGATCAACGATCGGTTGAGCCAATGTGTCGAATCGTTCTTGATTGACAAAATTATTAGCATCAAAAGTAAACACACGATGGAGCGTTAATAATATTGATTCCACCAATTCGATCCTATTGGACTCTTCGGTTAAAGTATATTCGTTAGATTCTTGAGAAACGAACTGATTGTTGTTGGTTAATAAATGTGCTGCATGTTGCAAGAAATTGCCCGCAAATAAAACGAATAATGATTTCAAACATTCTGCTATGTTAGCTGAAAGTCTAAAAATGAAAAAAAGAACATAAGAGAGAACAATGGATTATTAATTGATTAATTAAATCCAAGTCATTAGAATAAATAAAATTATTTAAACATACCTGAAGAATGTAATGTTTCGTTCTTTGTGATCTGAATTTCTTGTTGCCCAATCATAGAATCTATAATAGAGAGGTCTAAAAGTGGCCTCGCTTAATTTCAAAACTAACGCTACCAAAGCTTTACCAGCATTCTCTTCAACAATCTGAATATTTTTAAATAGATCTACACCGTCAATTTTCATAAGGTCATCACTAGAAACTATATCCTCACGAAATTGAAATACTTTTAAAAAAAAGCTTGTCAGATCTGGTATAGCTGCAGTTAAATCTGCACTTGGTATTGAAACAAATGATTCAGAAAGTATGTTTAAAAGTGGCGGTATACATTTGTAAGAATTTCTTTTATATAATTTATCGTATGTCTTATTAATAGCCGGTAACAAAACGCGCAAAGGTACGTAACTTGCTAATTTTTGTGTAATTGATTTTAAACGAGAAACCACTACACCAATCTGCAAAAAAAAAAGAAAATATATATATGTATCTGTCTGTCTGCGTTTCTATATGTGTTAAATTCAATATTTCACATAAAGAGGAAAAAAACGAAGAAAAATTAGGAAAAAAAAAATAATGAAGTTTCTCGATAAATAAATACCTTGGGATGATCTGTGTCGGTGTAAAATGAATTTAATCGAGTTAACTCGTACAAAATTTGATCCAAGTAATGTGATAAGAAATTTCCAACCGATTCCACGATCTTCTGGAAGGCACTAATGATACTGATTGTAACTACATCGGGTATTTCTTCGTGGCAATAAGTTTCTATTAAACTAATAAGTGCAGGTATAAATTTGTTCAATGATTGTATAGCATGAGTACGTAAACAGCTACATAATTCTCCAACACATAATGCTGCACTTCCTAAAATCGGACCGTTTCGTGTTTTTAATACTTCGGTAGTCAAGTCGAGAATCTATAATATAAAAGAAATAACATTAAAATGTTAAATACTTATCATTAGATCTTTAATAAATAAAATTGTATTACTTACATGTTTGAATATCATAGGATGTTTGTTTGCCAGTATTTTAGCCAACAACTTGAAAGTAATTAAAACGGTTTGTTGGACGATTTCACCTTCTTGATTTTCTGATTTCACGTTAATGTCGATAATGTTTGACAACGAACAAGTCAACTCTAATAGATTGACATGATCCTCTTCGTTAAACTTTTTCTGTTGCAGCCTTGCATTAAGCAATTCTAAGGCTTTCTTTTTGACTGTTAGTAACTCGTGATTTAAAAGTTTATTTACGCTTAATAAAAATATATTGTTTGGTAAAAGATTGTTAACAAGATCAAGCACGTCATAAAGATGATGTAAAAGAACCTTCCAATATTTGACTATAGGCTTCCCGTGGTATAAATATAAATCTGCAGTTTTGGAAGTAGTGTGTATCAAGAGTAGTAATTCAATTATCAGAACATCGTAATATGGCCTCATTTCATCCACTTCTTTTGAACTGTATCCGGCAAATCGACTAATGAAATCTGTCGATGATAAAAGATTCCTTAGAAATTGGACTAACACGAATTTGTAGTGTCTAAGATGTTTCGGTGTATTCTTGGTGATATCAAAAATATGTTTATATGGATAGGATAGTATGGCTTCTTTTTGATGTTTCTCTTCCTCAATATCGATCGGCAAATCTTTCAAAAATTGTGTCAATTTAACGCAAACTTGTAGCAATCTTTTCGGTTCGAATTCTTTCGAAATGTTTAACGCAAATTCTAGTCTTTGAGATGGCGTTTGGTCATTAACGGCACGACTTTTGGAAAGCACAAAACTTTCGAATGTTAACAGATAATACAAATGAAGATAATTGTCGAGTAATTGCAAAAGTTTTACAAACAGTGGCGTTCTTCTGTGTTCTGGTATATCTGGTAATGAAACGATAAATGTTCTTAAAATTTCACATACGTGAATCTCATTATTCTCCACATTTACAATTGGTATTACGGTTTCTAATGTTTTAATAATAATTTGTATTGAATAAGCATCGTCTTGTCTAACAACCGAGCTACCCATGAACGTAAATATAGGCATAATCGTGTGAAAGGCGAATTTAACGTCAACGATCTTTAACAATTCCACCAATACCAACAATGCGTGATAATGTGTTTGAGGATTTCTTGATTTCCTAATGCATTGTGCTATCAAATCTACTTGAAGATAACCGTCACGAATAGGAAGTTTCTCGATTAATAATTGATAAATATTCGATAATATTAGCTGATTCGTATATTCGATGGGGCTTTGTTCTTCAAAGCTAAGACATGTTTTAAGTAAATCGAATAAAATTGGGTAGAGTAGTTCTTTTTGTTGAATATTTTCGGCACATTGAACGAATTCTAATAGAATTACTCCGCGTTTCCAATTTCTGCTATTGATCATCATTGGATTAGGAATAGTATGACGCTTACTCAATCGTCTTGCTCTGACTGGGTTCTGATCATTTTCATTTGTAGTTTCGTTAAACGTTTTCATATTTTGTAATTCGTCGATTATTAGTTGAGCATGCATACTTATTCTTCTAACAGCTTTGTCGACATTCGATATTACATTACTAACGTCACAATCCGTTGCAATGTCCAGTAGTATCCCAAGAATCTTTCCTTGCATTTGATTGGAAACTTTGCCGACACTTTCGAAAAACAACAGATCTATTTGCTTCAAGAGAATCACACTTGGAGGATAAAATATATCATTAACTTGTATTACATTTTCATAGTTCGATATGCTCATTTCAAAAAGTTTCCACACTTTTTCATCGGTCAGTGCTTTTGTTGTTACAGCGTTAAATCGTTGAAGAATATTATTCAAAGCATTTCCAACAGATTCCTGTTTGGTATCCTTACTTAATTTTTCAAGCAAATCAAGACCAAGAGTTGCAAGATCTTTTAAAATTTCTGGTCCATTTACATGAATAAGGATGTTTAATAACTGCGATTTAACGTACATTGGTGTTACCGGATCCACAATTATTTCAAATAATTTTTTTTGTACGTTTTGTAGTTTTTCTCGTTTATCAGATTTGAATTGACTGTTTACGTCAGGATCTGGTGAAAGTAAGAGATAGAGATATAACGATAGTTGATTAGGATCCATAGATATTTCTGTACTTCTTTTCACTAATTCTTGAAGAAATACTGAAAATGGTTCCATCGTTAAATTAAAAGTTTGAGTTAATTTCTTTAAAATGTTGATTGCCATGACTCTGCACTCATTGTGTTCTCTTGCCAATGATAGAAGTAAATTTGTTAGAAAAACATTATCTTGTAATGCCAATTTCATAGTTTGAGATTCTTCCAAGAATATTGATAATATTTGCAAACAATGAAATGACATTTGGACGTTGACAGGTTTTATGAACAATTGTGATATGAAGCGAATTAAATCCTTCATCGTAGTAAAATGTCGTTGAAAAAATATCTGTAAACATCTTGAATAATGTTTACTATGATACTTGTTGCTCATACCTTCGAAAAATATTTCAAGAAGACGTAATATCAGATGACTACGATCTGAATCATTGTCAAAATCCAATTGAGAATAAGATTTGAAATCCAATCGTCTGTGAACCATCTCATAAACGTACGTACCAACTTGCAGTGGTAAGATATCTTTCGAAGTTAATTCCAATGCTGATTGTATATCGCTCCTAGTTAAATTATTACAATTTGGCAATAGTTTCTTTTGCGGATATTTTCTAAGCATTTCTGTAGCTAATTCAATGACTTCTCTAGCTAATTCTGGTTTTAATGAACCAACGGGTACTCTGCAAACAGATCCCAACAAAATCATATTAAAGAACACTGATACAGCATCGCCATGAGAAATCTGTTGTTTCATAGCATTCAATATATTTTCTGTTGGCGGCAATAATTTAGCCTCTAATATATTTGTAAATACAGCTGAAGTAATCATTTCTGCGGTTGGCGATCTTCCAACGGCATTTTTAACCGCTTGCATGTAGTTATTGTTCTTAGCAAAATTGGACAATAAAATTTCCATAGCAACCTCTACGTCTTTCTCCTTATTAGGAAATAAATATGGCAAGGTTATAATGAATATACTCGTATCGTCACTATCGTCGCATAATTCTAAAAGTATTTTTAATGCTGGTTTAGCCAATATTTGTCTACTATCATTGTGACATGTCGATAACAAAATTATTAGTTCATCGACTATTATGTCGGTAGAAAGTAGCTTTGTTAATCGTTTTACAGGAAATGAAAGTAAAGTTCTGATAACGTTTATTTCATTATCACTGAATCTAGCCTTCAAGGTATTTCTAAAAATTTCTTGCAAACTTTCGGGAATAATTACATCGTCATTTGCGAGTGCTTCTAACGCTATTATTCTGTATTCTGAACTGGCATGAACCAGTCTAATTAATATTTTCACTGCTTCATGTGCGTCATGCGCGCCAAACGGCCAAGAAGGGAGAAATCTTAATTCTTCTTTACAAGTATTATCTCTTTCGTTGTATTTTATCAACTTTTTTAAATAATTGTCAAATCTTTCCGGATATTTTCTCTCCAATGATCGATATAAATGAATCAAGAAATCTTTATATTCTCTAGATACTTCATTTTCAGAGAAATTCTTTTTTAAAATACTTGGTAGTAATACATCTACTGCACTATCTTCCAATTTCAGTGAAGATATTATATCATTTACCAAATTCTGTATTAGTTGAGTTTCTGTTGGGTTCATCAGAATCTCATGGCATGCAGTCTCTATCAATGGAATTATGAGTCTTGTTACGTTGATACCTGTAGATTGTAATTTGACAATCGTTTCTGTAAACCAGGAGAGATTTGCCAATTTATGTACAACACTGCCATGTAAATATGTCAATCGACAAAATGCAGAATCAAATAAAAATAAAAGAAAAAGCACTGCTTCTTTTCCAAGGCATGGTTTTTTAAATATTTTTAATAATAATTTTTCCATAATATCATCTTTCAGTTTAACTTTAGTCAATAATTTTGATAGAATCATATAACTGCTAGAAGCAAAATCTGGAATTTCACTAGATAATCCTTTTAAAAGAGTTGGTAACATATAACCATATTGAACTTCTTTGATTGTTGGTAAAATACTGATAGCACCAATTAATACTGTAGTATAAAATGAGTATAGAGTATTCAAAGCAGTTGCTTGCTCTCCGTATATCTTTGTTGCTGTAGAAACGTGCGTGCAAATCATTTTTAAAAGACCATTTTCGGTACTAACTTGATTTATAAGTGTACCAGAGGACAAAGGTATTCCTGGCCTCTGTAATGGTTTAAGCCAACGCCATTTATCATTTGATTCTGTTAGATCTACCAATTGCAATGCTCTAAAAAACAAAACATACATTAGGATATAAATTAATAATAAAACTATTAAATATATGCTATAACGTACCTGGCAAAAATACGAGTTTCGTGATATGGTAAAATTAAAAGAAGAAATTGATCTTTATTATATTGATGTATACGAAATCTATATATCAACCATTCAAGAGCCTTGTGAGCTGCATTTAAGAGAAAATATGGAGAAAGTAGTATCAAAAATTTTTCTATTCCATTATCGAGCTTTTTATTAACATTAGCATCATAGATCGAACGCTCAAAGTTAATAGAGCTCTGGGCAAATAAGTTATCTTTGAATTCTATAAATAAGTTAGTTAACTTAATCAATTCATCTAAACCACTTTGACCTGAAATATAAAAATTATATTATTAATATTTAATCATTCAACAACGCGCAAAATATAATGCCTTAATAAGATGAACATTTTACCAATGCTTAACACTGTTTCCTTTTCTAAACTTGCAGCTTCTTTAGGATCAAATAATAAACTGAAACGTTTTCGTTCTTGTAATAATAATGTAGTTTGTGGAACTCTCAACTTTTTCAATTGCTCTGCTAATGACGTAGCCATTTTAAACCTGCAATTAATTAATTGACATAATAATTATTCACACGCTCTCTAAATTAAAACTATTTATATTTTATTATAATTTTTATTTTGTATTTAATATAAGAATTTCACAAAACATTTGAATACATTTAATGCTATGTAAACACAATTTTTCCATAATTGCAATAATATCTTCTTATCTCTATAAAATTCCCCTGTCACAGTGTTTGTTATTCTTATTCTCCGAAACGACTTGACCGATTTATGTGAAATTTTTTGTGTATATTCGGTAGGTATGAGAATAGTTTTTCKTATATTTCTTATACCCCTGAGTGATAAGGGTGACCCACCATAATTATTTTTCCTTTAAAAGGATATTAAGAAAAAAGAGAAAATAAAAAGACAAAAGTTATGTTTGGTATATTCAGACAATGTAAAATTATATGATGTGAAGTAAGTGGTGATCTTATGTTACCGCTAATGCGCAGTTGGTTCGATATTAAGAAAAAAGAGAAAAAGAAGACAAATTTTATGTGCGTAGATTCAGATCTATCTATATATTTATTAGCCACAGCAACGCGTGGCCGGAGCACCCCTAGTAGTTATATATAATTTACTTTTTCACTTGCTGTCTTCAAAAAATTAAAATTATTTTTAGAGATACCTAAATTTAAAAAATAAACGCGTTTTTTAAAATCAAAAAAGAAATATTACACATTAATTTTTTCACATAAAATACTAATGAACAATGTTTACTTACGACTAAATATATGATCAACCGACCATGTGGCCTCATGTGGCTAGTATTAACCTTACTAATTTACAAAAAGAGAAGGAACTAGGCTACATGAATTAAAAACAGGAAGAAAGATAACTAGAAGGTAAAATGGCAGCCGAAATTGAGAGCTGAATGCAACGAGTCACGTGATCTCATGCACTTGGAAATTTCCCATAAGCCCATTGGAACCAATAACGTCGTTTAAATGCAAAATGCGTTATGCATTGTAAAATTTTTAAATCGTGCTAAATTTATATATTGATAAACTAAATTAATAAATTAAATTAATAAATTATTCACTTCGTTAATCTTCCGATACTAGGCTTTAGCACATATGCATAATGATTGGTATAAGCGTCCTGGTTGTTTTTTTTTTACAAATTATGGTACGGATGGATCAGAATGACAGTGTTGATTAGTTTGTGGAAAATCCAATGTCCGCGGGCCGAATGGCTAGTTACTGACCACTTTAACGACCAATGAGGAAGCGGACATAACAAGGGATTTCACCTTATTTATTTGCGATCTCTCAGAATAGATTTTATTCAACAAAATACAGAATTTATACACACACGCACAACGAGATACAGAATGATAAATTGATACGGAAGAGAGAGCAAGCGCAGTCGACTGATAAGCTTGGCGAGTGATATCGAACTCTTGTCGAGAAATCCGTTGGATCGATGATCTCCGAGAAGCGAGGAGATGATCCGGGATGTTCGTTATTAGGCCCGACCAATCAGATTCCCAGGCGCAATTACGCCGCGAGTTCTGACCAATCGGCCGCCTCTACATCATGGTTTGGTTACAAAACCGAGGCAGAAAGTGTCGCTGCAAGACACGCGCACCTCTAGTAGTTTTCGGGTACGTCTGCCGAACTTGGCGCTGGCAGCCGCGAGATGTCGGCACCATCCTGGTGCATGTAGAGGGTTTCTCTAGAGTAAAGATAATATTAGACTGAATTTGTTTTATGAT